GTACAGATAATGACCCACATATCCATATTTCAATATGTGGAGTAATTCAGCCCCAACATATCTGGGATTTTCTGACTTCTCAGTTCAGAAAAGAAAAGGCTGCAGTATTATTTAGTTTTTCATCATTCTTTTACATTTCTGCCTTCTGTACCCGAAGACATGTTCCTCCTCCTTGCAGTTCTCCCCCACCAACTTCAAAGCTGGAAACAAAACTATAAGAAAATTGTTGTCACTAAGAGCAAGAACATACTAAAGATGACAAAAGAGAGCCCTAAATCAATGAGAAACATGAGAGTGCAGCAGAAAGAGCAAGCGCTGAGTGTTGGTGTGAAGCTTTGACAGAGGGATAGGGAAGTCCCAGCACAGTGACCTGTTCCAAAGAGAAGGTAAGCTGGCTTGTGCTCTGAATGTCTCTCATGTCCACCACAATCAGATATCTGTCTTGTAATATCCTGCTCAATTTAAGTTCTTCAAGTAACTGAGACTAGGGAGGCACAGCTACAGATTACAGCCTAGACATAGTCCCAGGCATAATGATGCAGGCTGCTGAAGATAGATAAAATAAAAAAATCTCTCTCTCACTGGGAGGGTTTGAGCTTTTTCCTAGAGAAAGGTTATTTTCTAGGAAAAAAAAAAAAAAACTGTTGAGTCATTTCCCAGTTTTGCTTGTGTCTTGTCTTGTAGGGGATACTTTACCTAAAAAACAACCTATGGCTATAAATTGGAAATTGGCATGACCCCATGGGCAATGCTCAGTCCATCAGATAAGGCTCTGGCCCTGGAAGAAAATCACTGTTTGGATGAATTGTTCACTCAGGTTATACATAGTATATCGACAGTGGTGGCTAATAAGCAGCAAAGGAGTTTACTAGGAATTGAATACTACACCATGAAAGCAAATAATCTCATCTCCTTGTAGCATAGGTTGGGTCAGACGCAAGTTCACTCTACACCACATCAGTGAGGGTTTGGTGTGTGTTAAAGGTTGTGCAGGTTTCTACCCTGTAGAAATTAAAATGGGCATTATTAATGTGACACAGGCCTTAGTTAGATGGTTGGCACAAAACGTGTTTGGGAGAGAGCTTCAGAAAGCACTCATGGAAACTCTACCAGAATATTGACTATCAAATTAGACCACTGGCTTGTTTGGAATATAATTAGCAGATATTTATGGAGAAGAGAATTAGCCAGCCAAAATCTAATCCTGGACAGAAAAAAGGATAGAGTCCAAAGCATTCTTCAGGAGTATATGAGCTATTCATTGTTATTCACTGGAAGGCTTTTTTTTCTCATCATGTTCTAATTTGGAAAAAATTGCCATCTGAATAGGTCTACATCCAAGACCAAGGCTTTGCCTTTGCTGAAGTCAATGGAATAGCTGTTAAATGAAATCTAAAATGTCAAGAAAATCCTTTTCCTTACTATTCTGAACTAGAAAATTTAAGCTTTAGAGTTCAAAGTGATTTGAAGTAACCTACTGAAAAGCAAATAAAAGGCATACTCAAAAGAAAACAGAAGGTTATCTCTAAGGAGATAAAAACTATCTTGATAAAACCCCTGTTTGTCATAACATCTTATATAGCAACTTATACATTGATGAAGTATATATTAGGTATTTGTAGGTCTTTCAAGCATATTTTAGGCCTGTTACCTTTAGCTCTCAATCTGCCTTTCAGAAATATAGATTAATTTGCAATATTCCTTGCTCCATCTCAAAATTCATGCTTTCCTATGGCTCACACCTAAGTGCATTAGTATCAGGGCATTATTAGTATCAGGGCACTATTACTGCTCACCAGCAGTTTAATTATGGAGCTGTCAGAAAAGAAAACAAAATATTGAAGTCTTGTTACATCAGGGATAGAAAATCAAATCACAAAAGGTTACTACAGAAGCCCTAGTCACGGGAGTACAAATATATTCAAAGCAATGGGGCTGTGTGGATGTGGCTTTGGAGGATGCTTCATCTCCTCACATAGCTCTGTAATTTACATGAAATTACTCTATTGCCCAGAATTACTTCAGGGCAAGTCCATTCACATTGACACAAAGCACAGTGCAGTGCTTAAGCACCACTCTCTAAACAAGCAACCCAACCCTTTCAGCCTTGTTGTCTGAGTCTTGACTATAAAAGCTACCAAGGACACAGAAAGCACTTGGCTGTATTCAATGCAAGTGATTAGGTAGGACAATGTAAAATTAATAATAGCCCTTATCTTTTCATCTACACAGCAAATCACAGAGATAAGGGTTTTTTTTTTAGACAGAGCAATATTTGCTGAGATCTGAAGCAAATAATCATGTAGGTCAGCTTGGAGACAGCGAGAGTGTCATTTTAATTTGTACCAAGACAAAAAATAAACAAAGTGCACCAGATTGGGTGACAACAAGACACACAAAAAAGATACAGACAGGGATGATGGATCCTGGGTCAACAGAACAAAATAGAACAAAAAATGGGCTTAGACAACTGCATCGAAAGCAATTGCGCATTTTAACTTCAGTGTGATAATCTGGTCATAGCCCAAGGACAGCCACCCTCACACCCCAAACAGCCAAAACAGCTATGACTCTATACTGAACAGCCTATTTTTCCCATTCTGACAAGACTCAGAATACAGCTCAGCTATATATATATTTGCCATGTATCTGGTTATGGAAATGCCATGAACAAGCTCTAAACAGCACATTAACAGGGGACAATAAAATTAAGGAGCACTACTGCTGTTACTGGGAGCTAAATTTGAGTTCCAGGTTTAGATAGCTTGCAAGGCCTGGCATGATTAAGCAATAGTTGATGCACAATGTAGTATCATAATTCTGGTATCCATCAATCAAAGGCCTTATGGCCTTAACTCAAAATGCCTTAAATTCAATGAGGAAAAAGGAAAAAAAATATATATAACAAAGAAAAAAAAACCAGAGAGACTGGGAAAATTCTTAGTGAAGTTGAATCAGCTTTGATTTACTACTTGACTTTTTTGGTTTGGGCTTGGTCTGTAACATCTGGGCACATGCTCTGAAGAGACAAAGCCAAAGACAATGCTGTGTGAAGGACCATAAAGACCAGCTCATGCCTCAGGACCAGGTGCAAGGATGTCAGGAGGTCACCAGCCTTACACAGCCCACAGCCTCAGCGATCTCCTTACCATGTTGTGTCTCCTTGCTTTTCTTACGAAGCTGAACTGAAGGGAGGTGATAGGAATTAGTCAGGAAAGAATGTTCCTGCCTAACCAGTGCCAAGAGCAGCAAAGGCAGTTTTGGAAGCAGAACCAATTGCCACTGTACCCGGGTTTTTGGAATATTTCTCTTCCACTAATCTACAGGCTCAGTGCTGTAGTGCAGTCACTGTGCTGTTATGATGCTGTGCCTCATTGATAAGGCAGCTAGTGAGACCAGACTGCAGGTTTGGTATTAAAACAATTGGGAAATCTTACCCGTAAACCCAGATGTCTTTTAAACTATTTTCTGCAGTGCAGTTGAGTTTATTTAGCATATGTGTCTGTGGGTAAAGATATACCTGCTGAGCAACTGCTGATATGCAGAAAGTAGTATTTAACGCTTGAAAGGACACTAGGAAGCATAAACTGGTATAGACTGGGAGACGTCAGACCAATGCACATGAATTACAGGTAAACTGGTAGGGAATTACAAAGTTTACTCACTAAAGGTCTTGGTGATGGCAGAAATCACAGGTCCCACTGTATACACAGAAATGTATTAGCTTTCTGTTTGTAATTCACATAACCACCTCCTGCCCCCAAGAAACCTGGAGATAACTTTGCTTATAAGGACTGAGTGGTAATGCACTGAAGAATCCTTAACTGCTGAAATCAATGCACTTGACAGGCAGGGTAATCTCAACTGAAACATCCCTCCATTACAGCATGTACAGAAAAAATACATTTGCAACAAAAAGCATGTGCCTAATGTTTTTTGGGGTTGGTTTTTTTTTTTTTTTCTGTCAATTAAAAATTTAAAGTGTAGAAAATCAAAGCAAGCATCACCTGGAAGACATTGAATGCAGTTTTTTAATGCAGCCTGTGACTTTTTTTTTAGAAAAACTCTGTTGTTTTGATTTAAAGACTAAAGTGAAAGATTAATTTTACTTTGAAATTTGGCAAAAGATACCAGCAAAAATCAAATGAATTCTTGAAATCTTTTTGTATTGTCACATCCATCTGTTGTCAGCATAGTCTCAGATGAGATGTGTTTCAATAATACATGCATAATGTATTATTGATACAAAATATACATAATCAATACATAATATATACATAATATGCATAATAATATGTATATACAATATATACATAATATACATAATAATACAAAAATGTGCAGTTTCACCTCCTTGCTTTCACCCACACAGTGACCTGCACAGCTGCTGAAGTCCCTTAACAGTTAACATATATCCAAAAAAGTTTATTAAAAGACTTTTAAAGAAAAAAGTATGTTCCTAGTGCCGCCACTCCTACTCTGAATTTGGAGGTATGGTGTGATTTTTAAGAAATTGCATAAGCACTCTGTAGTGACTTTATAATTCCATTAGGAAAAGGTTTGTCTGTGGAATGGGTTAATATATCCATTTCTGTGTCAGGCACAGCTAACAAAGTGCTTCATCAGAAGTGGTTCAGCAAACTCTTAAAACTCCAGCAGAACATCCAGGCACTGTGTTTCAGGACACTTCTCTCTTGGAAGGTATCCTACTTACCCCACTAGGCTTAATGACAAAATAGAAGTATTTAATGAACCATAGAATATTATCAAATTATATCAGCTGTGTCTATTTGAGAATTCAGTTGCAGCATAAGCTCTGTCAGTAAAAGTTAGCTGTCACACAAGGAGTAACATCAGTGCAGCTACAGCATGTCCTCACTTGGTCAAGGGAAAACAAAACACCAGAGCAGACCAGACAAATTGACAGGTTTAAATAACAGGCAGAAGAGGCTTCTAGACAAGATATGACATTTATTTTTGAGCAGTAAAGAACACAAAGAAGTATCTGAATTTAAATAATCTAAATTATCCTCCACAGTTGTTCAACTTCATTTGTGTTATATCCAATGCTTAGTTATGGACAGCAAGTCCTGTAGAAATAATGCATAGACTCATGCATAACTCAGAACATTGCTTTCTGAACTATTTCTTGATTATGTGTGTATTCTCCATTTCAAATTTAATTATGCTCCAATTTTTTTAGCAGTATTTTCCTTGTTCAACAGCAGTGGTCTGAAAGACGAACCAGATATGGCTGACAGAAAGAAGTTTTTATTTGTAAAACATGGATTGTGGGGGTAGAGATATTTAAGAATTTTCTATTTACTTTGCATCCAAATTTCAAGGGGCATGGCAGAGCATCTGGTAACAAAAATTGAATTCAAGAACTGAATGCAGAAAATTGGCAAAGTGTTTACTTTGAGAACATGAAAGCTGTGGAGAAAATTAATTTATAATTGCTTTTGAATGCACATAAAATTTGTTGATTAAATTCAAGAATAGGATTTGATAGTTAGAAGATAAAACCCCAAAGTTTAACCTCAAATACAAAATAACATTACAATCTGTACACAATATACAACATAATAGCAATAACAGCTTTGATGTCTCCAGTCACTCTTATTTATGTAAAAATATGTAAGCACAATGAATCAGCAGCATTTAACTGCAGAGTTCAGGTCTGTAGAGCTTTACTTTGAAGAACAAAAAATATTTAGTTCTGAGATGCAAAAGTTCAACAGCAACATCAAATTCTATAGCCCTCCAGACAGAGTCAAGGATATTTTTAGAAGATTTCTGAACCAGTGAAGAACTAAAATAACTTTTAACATGCTGTTTGAACTTAGTGCAATTTATTTTAAGACATAAGAATAAAATAAAAAATAATGCTTTTTAAGGTTCTAAATAGAGAAGGCTTAATCCAAACAGAATATCAGCAAGAACAAAGTAATATGTTGCATAAGAACAAACAAACAAACAACAACAAAAAAAAAATTAATCCTGGCTGTTTGCTACTGACATTAAGTATTTTTTTCCTACACTTTGACCAAGAAGCAAATAGAGGGCCACATAGAGATTTACAACAAAGTAACTATATCTGCTAGAATTCACAGTTTTTTATCATTTCATCCCCTTTTTGATACAATTTTAAGCTTCATTCAATCAATTGAAATAAACTAAAATCAAACAGCAGCTCTTTAAACCAGATGAGAAAATGTCTATGCTGACTTGCTGAGTTTTCTACTCTAGTTAAAGATCATCCATCTAATGAAATCATATTAAATATGTGTATCCCTACCCTGATGTCTCCTTGCTCTTTTGATTTTTATGAAGCATACCAGCTTGGTGTGGGTATTTGTCTAAAATTATCATAACTTATTCCTATAGAAAAAAATTACATTTACAGTACAATTTTCTGTAATTCTGTTGGTCTGGAGATAAGGTAGATTTTTCTAAGAGCTACATTAATGAGAAAAAGTCCAACTTTTTTCTCATTCTGGATAGTTGCAGCGGGACTATACAGACCCAAAAAGCAGCAGCAGCACATTCAAATGAGCCTTTCCAATTGCTGCACTTTTAATTTGATGAAGAAGCTGTTATCCCTTATGTATTTAAACCTACTGAGTTGAAACCGTAACTATAGAGACACTCAGCTATGGTATTTGATGGTGAAGAAGGAAATGCACAGAAGCCTCACACACTGCTTCTCTTTCCTCCATCACAGCAACTCCAGGCAGCAAAGTTCAGCACTTTGGGGAAGCTATGGGGAGCTGGCTGATATTGTCCAGGGCTGATGGTTACTCGGAAAAACTATGGACAGCTACCACACGAGGCCAGGGGGAAGTCACCCCAATCTACTCCTTTAGGCTGTGTCCAGTGAATTAAGAAAGCATCCAGAAAAGACTTCATCCAGAAAATACTTCATCCTAGTGCCTGCTTTCAAGGATCCCTGTGGCTCTTTCATGGCACTGACTTGCCCTGGGACCACTCCAAGGACATACAAGGGCAACAAGTGGGTTTGCTATGAGAGCACAGCAGCAGGCCCTCTTAGGAGGCAGTGTTTTCAAAAAACTAGTCAAATAAATTTTTCAGTAGCTATTTTCCTGAGAAATGCTTGTTTAATTCAAAGACTTAAGGAAATAATCATAGAAGGGTGAGAAAACAGTGAAAAACCTGAGCAGGGCAAGAGGGAGTTCTCCAAAACACCAAGGTGCTTGCCAAAAGGCCAGTGGCAGGGAAGTATTAAGTGTCATAACCCTTAACATTTCATTCTGGAATGAAAAGGTCACATCAGGATTTGGACTGGACAGAAGAATTTAAACCCTCACTATCTGCTGTTAGAACCTGATAATCTCCTCTTCACCAATATTTCTGTTTCATTTTGAATAGTAGAAGCAAAAGTTGGCAATATACTGTGAAAGAAAAAAAAGAAGTAAGAAAAAAGGGTGTGATATAACACTGCATGTTTAATGCATTTCTTTTTTCACTATTATATATCATTTCAAGCTATACAACAAAAGTCACCAATTAATAAAACAACTTATAATAGACAGTTAGGTAGCACAGGAACTAGAATATAAACTAAATAGAGCAGCAAAGTAGGGTATGAAATTCTAAAATACATTTACCTGTCCTCTGACTGGACAGACGTAAAATGGGCTTGTGATGTTTAACATTGTTATTACCAGAGAGGGTTCAAACATTTGAATGTTCCCCTCTTTTTGTTCTTCTACAGTAGTTAACAAAGATCTGGGGAAAATAAAATAGGAAAAAAAACCCTATTTTTCAATCTCTTCTAGGGATTTGTCTTCCCCTTTCAATTATTCTCTTAATTTTTGTAGAACTTAACTTTGTCCTCAAACAACAGAAAATACCATCAGCACAAAACACTGCCAGTAGAAACCCGATCTTCCCTGCAACCTCATTTACCTTCACTGATACCATAATTCTCACTTGGTAATTTACTGAGGTACATGCCTAACTTACTCCTGTGAGTGTCTCTGTTTTGACATACTGATATACTTTGGGATATGATATCTGTGTTAGTGTATCACCTAAGCAGAGCCTAGAAGGCTTTGTCCAAAGCAAGCTCCAGGAGCCAAAACCATGAAAATTAAGTGCAATTCCCATAAGAACAGACTTCTTAAGCCAGGAATAAACAAAGTGCAGTGGAAAAAACACTTCATTCAGTTGTTACTGATACCACTGGTAGGAAAAAAATGTTTGAATGTTTTACAATGAAAGATTGCATGCAAAATTCAGCAACTCTCTGTGAAAAATAGCACATGAAGCCGACCTTGCTTGATTCTAGATGTACAATACACAGAGGGATACACTATTCTATCTCTCACAATTTCAGCATTTTAAGGAACTCATCAGTAGTTTGGAGAAACTTTTTTTAAGTTCATTCTGCTCAGGATACTGATTACCTTATGTACTTTAATATTACTGTTCACCCATCTTAACTGAGATACTTTTTCATGACTTTAAAGCAAGCGCTACACACAGTTCAGCAGATTCTCAGGACTTATGTCAACAACCTTTGAGAGAAACTAATGGCAAGAAGAGGAGGCATATGGATCAGGAGAAGAAAATTTTTCCACATTATTTTTTCTCTATTATCCCACCATCTGCTTGCTCCACAGCTCCACTTACCTACATTTTTTACAGCAGTGATTCTTATGCACATGATCACTCTCTAGCTGGTAAAGCCCTTCTTTCTTTTGTGTTTTTTTTTCTTTTTCTACTTCTTTTCTTTCTTTCTTTTTGTCTCAATTTCTCCTTTCATTGAAACAAAATAAGAGAAAGGATATGAGAAAACAGCAAAAGAGCTCACATCCAGCTAAAGACACTTCTCAGAAAATTGAGTAGTATGATGGCTGCACCGTGCTTACATTTTTTCAGTGGTAAAAACTTCAAAATCACAGATTCTGCTCCAGAATGAAAGGATAAGGAGGTAGAAAAGGTCAATATTAACTATCTTTCTTTGTGTTATTTATGGACACACAGAAAAGACATCTTTTAAAAAAGGGCTTTGCCACAGACTGTGGGATAATTGAAAAAGTGAGATTTTGCCAAAACACAATGAAACCTCTGCTGAACAAAAGGCAGTGTGTTTTGGGAAAGAAGTCTTTAAAAAAGGTAAAAATAATACCATGAAGTTAGATTCCTCTCGTGTCCTGCATTTCTCCTGTGATACTCTGAGCATTCTCCACCTCAGGAGTACAGTGAACAGTAAATATATCAATAAATACAAACATAAATTAAAAATGGAACTACTACAGCAGTCTGTGATTTGGTTTCAAACAGCAAAATCTCTCAATGTGGAAAGAAAAAGGATTTTTAATCCTACAAGTACTTGACAATGTAAAATTCCATTGCACAAATGATACCTCATTTAGAAATGAAACCATATTTTGCTATTTTTATACACTACAAGAAAAAAAGCCCCTCGTTTGAGCTCAGTTGATACATTACAAAACAAATTAATGAATCTTCTTCATTCATACCTAAAAGCTTCTCCTTTTTTTCACGTTACTATGTGGAACCTAAGTCCCCCACCATGCATATAGCTGGCATAGCCCTCTGTGACACCTATCCCAGCAGGGAGCACAAAGGTTCTGGCAAAGTTGAGGAGATGGGCTCCCTTGCAGCATGTTCTGCTAGATGGCATGGTCAGCCTGGCACTAGGGCAGCACTACAGTATTCTTCACTCAAAGGAGGCTCAAAACACCCTCCTCACACAGGTATCACATCCATGAAGTGCCTGGGTTTACCCATCGTGTTACACCACATGCAAGCCTCCTCTGAATCAAAAAAAAAAAAACTTGTACAAAATGCTGGCAGTGGGTTTTATAGAAGCTTCAGAGTCAATGCAGAGTTCTGCAACTCATACCAGGTCCTTGAAAGTCCCACAAAAGGCCTGTCTCTGTCTTTAAACCTGGTGACTGTTGCCCTCTCCAGAGAAGATGCACAGCTTCTGGCTTTCTTGCAGACTCTGGAACAGGGGTAGCAGGGCTTAAAGCAAGGAACCCTGCATGTAATTGTTTTCTTCTTTGCTCAGAAACACCTGGAACAATAACACCAGCTGGAAAAATACAAGAGCTTTACTAAAATGTCATTGTGGAAAGCCAGCCCACACAGAGACAATGTTGAGATCAAGTCCCCCAGAGGAAAGAATGTCTAGTTAGGAGAGGAAAGGAAAGAAAAGCTGGAAAGGAGGCACAACCACTGATAACTTCTGCTGTAAAATGCAAAATCAAGGTGAGGTTTATCCTCATTTAAACTTGATAGAAAGTAAACACCCCCAGAATATAATTCTGCATGGGTACAATCCTGGAGGATATGAACTGCTATTTTAACCTATCAGACAACAAAGGTGAGAACTTCTAAATTTGCTCCCATGAAAAAGTTTGACATCGAAAGCAGAGAAAGTATCTTACACAAGAGGAGGAAAACAGCTGGGGAAAAAAATCCAGAGGAACAGTATTTCCTTGGTGTAAATAACCTTTGACTTCATTAACAAAAATGAAATGTAGGAAAAACAGTGTGGCAAAGCCACAGAACTTGTTTCCAACATTTATTTTGAATGCTTTCTTTGTGTTTTCAAATATTCCTTACCATACTGATACAAATTTGACACATTGAGGGGTGGCTACAGAGGCAAGGAGTCAAATGAAGTATGGTGGTTAGAAAAAGTGACTTAAACCTCTTTTCTTTTAGGTTCTACTAGTGACTTCTCAGGTGATACGGGGTAGATAAATTATTTCGCCTCTCTGTGTTTCATGTTCTTTATCAATGAACTGAAGAGACACATTTTATGAAAAGTACAAGAGTTCAGCATTACTATCATCAGTTTTGAGCCTTAACAGCTTTGAAAGCCATAGATGCTGGACAACAAGTTCAAGTATAACTCAGAAGAGCAGAATTTCAATATGCTATGCAAGACACTTAGATATTTGTCAGAAGGACATTAATGTTAAGAAACTGATAAAGATGCACAGCACTCTCTCATGGTACAGCCAAATGCTGCTTCAGTTATTTTCAAAGTCAGGATAAAATAAATTACAATATTTTTAAATCAAAACAATTGCAATGCAGCATTTTGGCTACTTTCTTAAACAACATAAGAAGCAGAATTGTACATTTTCTCCTGAGAATTGTGAGGTTTTAGTAAAAGATTAGTACTTAAAATTAATTAGTCTCATTTTTGCAACTAATTTAAATATTAGATATACTCAAAGCCATAGCTAGCAGATGCAGCAGCACAAATGGTAGGTTTGTTTTTTTTAATTAAACAAATTATCTGCTGCCCATGAAATTAATGTCCCTGTGTTTTTAACTCCAATATAATACTCAATAAGAGAATTTAAAGTAAACTTAAGGGTTTTGGCTAAGGCTTTGCACTCCTGGAAAAAAATGAATGGGCACACTCTAAGTACAATCAGATTTGTGCTACCTACAACTGCAGCAGAGCAAAAAGCAAAAGGATTGCAGTCAGTGTCAATTAAATCAAATATGATTGATTAAAGGCTAGAACAATTGATTAAAAAATAGTGCAGTAGACTTGAATGGAAAGTAATCCTTCTACCAGCATAACCTTCAGCTCCTGAATTTCCTCATACATGCAAATTGCTTTCTGATTATAAATGACCCTTTTCATCTATAGGGATAAATGAACATTAGAGACAGATTTTCTTTGTGTGGCTCTAAGATTTTTTCACTGAAGTGTCCCAAAATTTACTTTTATATGCAACTTAGAATAAAGGAACAGTGTGGCAGGGGAAAAAAGCTTGAAGGAAACACAAAAAATTGAAAAGTCTGCAGAGAGAAGAGTATTGATCTTGCTCCTGGTGCAGCCATGGAAAAACTTCTCCTCATCTTTAAAATTGGATCAGGTCCAAGGACTGACTGAGCTTAAAAGAATGTTCCTGTTTGAAGTACTTTCACAGTAGACAGCACCAGCTTTATCATCCAAACCGCCTCTCAACCATGGCTAGGACCTCTGAATTCCAGTGGCTGAAGTAGTTCACCACATCAGAGGAATAATAACATTAAAAACGTCATGTTTCCTCCCTGTGATGGGAAGGTATGCCATGAGCCACCATATTTCCCATAGGAGCAAAGGAAGGTCTTCATCCAAATCTTGCCTGTTGTCAATCCCAGATGTTCAGGTTGCCTTCTGACAGGGAGTAAATCTGTCCTGATAAAATGGGAAGGCATTCAAAATAATGGTTTTCAAGGATAATGCAGACCTTTGAACAATCACATCTAAGACATTCTGGGTATTGTTGAAAACCATCTTCTTCTTCTTTATTTGTTGTTAATGTAGGTAAAAATCCCTAAATACATCCTTAAATTTGAAAATTTTCAGGCCCTGGGCACATGTTTATGACTAAGTGCTTGCTAATCCACTTTACTTTGAATCCCTCAATAGTGACTAACACATCTTGGGCTGAGATTTACATGTGCTCTTTATTTCTGCAGCTCCTTTGAGTAAATTCTTCATGTCTTTAAAAAGAAGGCATATCACACCAGAGAAACTGTAAATAATGGCCATGCACCCCCGAGCAGTAGGAAAACACTTCCTATGTCATCTCAGTCCCTCCACTGATTGAAAAGGATTTCCAGGCCTATGAATATGCAGAAGCTGTGACAGAGCACAGATATTACAACTACTAGCACTGTAAACAATGGAGTTAGGATTATATGAGCAAGATGGTATGCGAAAGAATATACAGAGAACTACAAGCAATAATTCCACCATCCCTCTTTGCTAATGGCATTCTGACATCTTTTCCCAGTGTATTCTTAGGGATTCTCACCATAACATTATATTTCTGTGCCTTATCTCAATGAAGTAGTAATGTTGCCTGTATTAAGCATAGGTATTTGTTTTCTGTAAAGAAAAGAGTGGATGACATGACTCTTTCTTTAAGAAAGCTCTGACTACATTAACTCAGGAATTTGAAAACCTACATATACTCTGATAAACTCAACTTTTCACGGAAAACTCATTATGACATCACTAGTTAAACATTTGAACTTTTAGTTTAGCATTACAGATCTCTAAGCAATGTTCAAATAACAATTCTAAGAAAAATGATTGTAAGTAAAAATAGCTGAAATGGTACTTTTTCCATACTTGAATATTTCTAGCTTTAAACTAACCTCCTTAATATGCAGATTATGTTTTACAAATAGGTTTTGAAAAATTCCACCTAATAAGTAATGCCTAATGCTTATGTTGCACTTCATCAGTTGAATTCTCTTCTGACACAAATGCTGAACAGGTCCAGAAAACCACCAGACAACAAATCACTTCTTACCTCATTTTGATTTCTAGCATAGGCTTATAGGGTTATGTTCAATAATTATTCCATTATACACAATACATTCATGTTCTGCTTTACATTTCTTTAAATGTTTGCTCTTCCTCTTTCTCGATTTTAAAACTTTGTGTATTTACAAGAATATGTTTTTAAAAGTAATATGAATTTTTTCAATCCTATTTTCTAATGCTTCAGAAGAGAATGGAAAAAAAAGAGAAAACATCTGAGTCACCATCTCTGTCTCACAACAATACACAAAGCAATCTGGAAAACTCCAGTGTACATCAAATGTGTTTCATACAATTTAACATTTGAGTTTTCCCAAAAGGAAGGGAAATGGTCAGCTAACAACTTGGTTTTCACTGTTATATTTTCTTTCTGAAACCAAATGAGATGGTGGAGGGCAGAGTCTTTCTTGAAGGACAGAGTTTTGCCATGTATGTATTTATAAAGGTATCCATCCATAAGGCAACCTCCTTACACAGGTTTCCTATCCACATACTCAAACACTGATGATGCTGAATGCTTCACAGGACTTGGCTCTATTGTGTTGGCTCAGACAGCTAGGAAACAGCAGAATCAATCCTGAACATCTTCCTGACATCTCTGTTTCAACAATAGAGGCGACATGGAGAAAATATTAAGTCAGGAAAGAGTAAGAACATTTTTGACCAGGGGCATTAATTATATTCCTTGAAATATTGACACTGCAGGTGATGAAGTGTAAAGGAAGACCATGAAATAGAGCTGTGTACAGAGGCAAAGGCAATAAGAGACTTTTCATTTCCAGGCCTTCCTAGTGTCAGGAAGTATGATATGACATGGATCATAACAAGGTTCAGGCAGAAAGTTCATTTTGGTGTGGATAAAAACCTCAATTTTTTAAAAGAACAAATGAAAGCAGCAGTGGGCATTGAGATAAAGCAGAGAATAAGAGCTTGCCTTTCCTTGCCCTCCTGTGCCTTGCCTTGCCAGCATTATCTCTGGGCTACAGCACAAGATCTATAGCAACAGTAGGGACAGACTTCAAACACCCTTGGAATCCCAATTGAACCCTCTCACCCCATCTTCCTTGAAATCCATCAGTAAATAGAGAAGTACATGAAGCATTCTGAGATTGCTAGCATAAAGAAACTCAAAAGTTGGACTTGATGGTTGTTGTGATTCCAGCTCAGGATATTCTGTGATTCTTTGAAATAGACTTGCAGCTGAGACAGCAAACTGAGTGAGGAAAGAACAGAGACAGCCTCAGGACTCCAACATTTCTTCATTGACCACTCGTGCACAATCTCTGAACAGGGGCAGTGCAAGGAAATACAAATCTAGAATCATGTTTTTCCCTGCTGGCAGCCATTCTGAGAGGTTTACAGTTGACAACAAGAAACTGTAATGTCGCATACATTTTTTCATAGAAATCCTTTCTTTGGGATTTGTTCATCTTCTGGGAAGCTGAGGCCCCAGAAGAAGAATGTAAACAATTGTTATCGGCTGCTGTGAAATGTAGCAGGTGCCCCTGTGATTGGCTCATGTTCCATGTTTACAATTAAGGGCCAATCACAGGAGCAAGTTCGGGGACAGATTCCCTGGACACAGAACTTTGTTATTCATTCTTTTCTATGCTATTCTTAGCTTAGCAGCCTCTGCAACTTCTCTCTTTATTCTTTTTAGTATAGTTATAATGTATTATATATCATATATCAATAAATCCAGCCTTCTGATCATGAACTAAGATTCTCGTCCACTTCTCTCACCTGAAGACCTCCTCAGGTCGCAGTAATACTGTAATACATGTGTGTACTGCAGAAAAAACAGGAGATCCCACACCACATGGCAGATTTCTCGTTGGGCTGCATCTCATGTTCTTCCTCTGTTCCCCTTGAATCTGTCCTCCACATGGGCCCAGACTTTAAAACAGGCACAATCGCATCTGAAAGACATTTCATTTCAGTTTGAAGTAGCTTATCGAAAGGGTGTATTTTTCTAGGCTTGAGGGAATACCTCCGTCTTAGGAAGCAATTAACTGATACTTTGATTCACAAGATCCCTGACTGATTTTCAGGATAAAAACCTGCAGAGTCTGCACCATGTCCTGCACTCCTACTGCTGCAGAGCACAGTGCTGAAGATCAGGAATAACACAGATGGACATGCAGGAATGTTAAGGAAAGGGAACTATATATGTAATCCAAATCATACAGTTCTATAAGGCTCCAGCTCTTGAAACAAATACTGAGGAGGTTAAGAACACACATCTTCTCAAACTCAGTTTATTTTAATCCTGCTGGAGCTAACATTTTTCTTTTACAGCTTACTATATGTACCATTTCAAACTGCTCGTCAAAACACTGTCATGGATTTTCTGGCCTCAGTGAATTGTCCAAAGGAGTCCTTCCTGCCAATTCTCAGCTGCTTGCTGCTACATGGGTTCCTACAAAGGCCAAGACCAAGAAATGGACACATAATATTACTGCAATCAAAGAGGAAGAAATCTCCCTTGCCTGTGCGCTGCCATAGTGCACATACTGGGGTTTTTTCCTGTTAAAAAAGCTTCCTAAATCTAGCTATCACTTGAGGATGACATTCTGAGGCTTGCCTGCATAAGAGCAAAGATCCTCTCTGTGCATTACTGCTTTTCTAAAATATCAGCTCTGGCTCAGACTGTTGGCAAGCATTTTCTAGAATCAAGGCCTAGATGACTTACTCAGGGATATACAGTAAAGTAACACAGAACACTGCCAGTCTTTTAACCCCTAGGTTAGACCTGTTCTACTTCAACATCATTGTGCTACAAACCAAAGGGCAAACAGAAAGATAAATCTAAAGGAAACAATTTTTTTTACTAACACAAAGAATTTGGCATTTTAAACACTAATAGAATTTATTCTCACTTTATTCTCAGATCTGCAACAGTCTATCAATGAATATTTATTATGCTACCATTTTGATGTAAGACAACCGGCAACACACCTCTTTTGAGAACTGCTGTACATTGCTTTGAGGCAAGAAGTTCTGCTAGAAGGCCTTTCAAGGCTTTGTCTGAAAAGAACTAAAAGGCAGTTCTGCTACTAAAATTTCACAAGAATTAAGAGCCAAAAATTCATTTCAGTAAACAAATAAATGATTCCAAGAAAGAGGAGATATCAAAATTATCATGTTTTTTATCTACTGCCTTACATTTGCACAGCAGCCTACAGTGACCCACTTTGCAAGACATGATTTACTTTCTCTCCATCTCATCTCATTTTCTTCTGATGTGACTTTTTCTCTGCCTGGGGAGTGTTCAGCACTCTGCAAAAGGCTCTGTAACATCTGCTGTAGTTCTTTATAATTTCATTTCCTTGTGCTGATATTTTAGGTCTAATTCTTTAGGTTTGGACTGAAAGCTGGAGGTCAGTTCCTGCCATTTTTAATTATTTCCTTTCACGAAATATAAAGGAAGACATGTCCCTCTGATTTTATCATTACTGACAAATCTTTCCTCAGCCCTTTCTTTGTTCTTAATATTTTGCACATTCCTAAATGAGCCTGAATCATTTGCACTGGCAGGCTTGCACATGCACACACACATACCCCCACACAGACATCTCACAGATAAGGTCTCTCTTTTTAAATCTTAGCTTCAGACATTTTAAGCTATACTTCACAGAGTTTGCTTTGAATATTTAATTTGCCTGGAAATCATTAATGTACTAAACCAAGAATTTTACTGGTTCAAATAATAAATGTTTTGAGTTTCCGCTGTAAAAAAGTCTAGACAAAAGTCTTGGGTGATAAATCACACAGAAGAAAGTCTCTGTTTTGTTTTAAATTACCATTGTACATGTTTCTCATGTTTCATCAAGTACATTTTTTTTACTCATTATGAAATATCCCCCAGAAAAGTAGACATTTAGAATTATTTAGCTATGATTATACAATACATCTTATTTCACTGGAAAGCGCTCAGCTGGGAAACGTTCTTACATAATGCATGCAATAGAGACCCTTGCTGAACAGCATGAACTGTGATGGGACAGTAGTGGTAATTCTGCTTGGAGAGCAGGTCAGATGATCCAGCCATGCTGAAATTGCCAAACTCACCTTTGTATCACCAAGCACCTGCTTGGGAGATGCTATGGATGGTATGTCCACAGACAGTTCACAGGGACTGCAGACAACAGGGGAAGAATAGCTGGAGATGGAAAAGGGGTGGAGGATTTGAGAATGCCACCACAAATATGAGCACCAACACAAACTCAGAGATATTGAGATGGGCATATGAAAGCAGGGCAGGATGCTACATGCAAACACTTGAACATATGGTCAAGGAGAAATGACAGTCTGTGTTTACATGTCTTTGATGTGATCAGATAATAATTAGGATGAGTTTCAGCTCAGAATTCAAGTCCCTGATACTGTTTATATTTACTACAAATGCATGTGGTCCATAGTTACATATTTAATGTACATTTCTGTTTTCGAACACTGTGCTAGTGCCCATACAACTGAAAGGCCAGAGCTCAAGAGACAGATTCCTGTTTTAAAACAGCAGGCCATTTTCAGGTGTTTTGATGAGTTTAGGAATGCATTGAGCTGCACAGGCTATTCAGCTGGCACCACAGAAGATCTCTTTAATGCTCAGGTGTGCCCAGCCCTCAAAGGTTACCATCACCAAGGCATTTAACGACCCCCCAAAGAAGAAGTAGGGGTTGCAGACAGATGTGATTTGATGAGTGAACAACTGGTTTTGACAGAGCTATATACTGAAGGAACAGCACAAGCACTATGTGAACCACTGAAAGAACTATGTGAACTATGTGAACCACATGCACAAGCACCATGGGATTTAGCCACCCCCAGGTAAGAGCCCTGCGGTGTGCAATCTGTAACATTGATAAAAGATGGAAAGAAAAATGATATGGCAAAGAACATAGTTGGGAAGATGAAATTAAATTATCGAGAGGCAAATTATAAAGTTGACTGCCTATAATGCCTATAATTACTGCCGGACATCCCTGAAGTGCACATTCACAGCCAACACTATACCTGCTGTTTACATTGTTGAAATGCATTTGAGGGAGAGAGGAAATGTCCAAGCTGCCCAAAATCTCACCTCAACGAACTCAATGTAACCATCCAGACTTTGAGGGAAATTGCTGACTATTCTCATCAGTGTTGCTGATGACATGATTAGTGATGCAAGGACAAGTGTCACAGTGCATGGATTTCATGGGGTTTGCAGAGACATACTTGAGGGCAAGAGAAGAAAAGCATTAGTATATATGGTACATGTAGGACCACTAATTTTCAGTGAACTTTCAAAAAAACTCAACTGTTTTGATTGTATCTCAGAGTTTTTCTCCCCTTTTCTGTGGGCATTTGAAAACTTTATTGCAGCCTGACTAGTTTATCTTGGATTAGTTAAACACTTTATTGAACACTTGACTTTTCACAGTCAACTTGCCAGGTGATGCTAATTTTTTTTTAATCATTTACAAATAACCAAGATTAAAAATATTTTGTATTTCAAAAATTACAAAGAAAGGCAAAGTAGAAATAGTTTTGGATCTTGTACTAATTTTATGCAAATATGAAATAAATTTAATCACTGATGAATTACAAAGGAACCCAGTCAAGGTTAAGAGGAAATATAAAACTCAGGTTAACAGTTCATGTCTGACTGGTCTGTAGTTAATCCTATACAGTAACTGTTCCATAGGCATTCTAAAAAATGTGACTTTCCTAGGAATTTTTAAATACAGTTTAAATACCTTTAAAAATAATGTTTTTCTTTGCAAAGTGTCATAATTTAGGAATGGTACTTGCCAATTCAGTTCTCCTACTGAGATTTTCCAAACCAAACTTCTACTCTCTCCCTCCCCCTGCCCCCTCTTCAATTCCCACCCCATCACATGTGGCCAGAGAGGAGAGCTGGGGACATAAAAGGTGAAAGTCATGAGTTGAGATAAGAACAATTTACTGGAAACAGCAATGAGATAATACAATGAATAGTAACAGCAGTAATGTTAAAAACAAAAGTATTCAAAAAGAGAGAATTACTCACATAGAAAATGCTCACTGCAGATCCTACGACAACAGGAAATGGAACCAGGACACATGTCTGAAAGATAGATGTTTTTCAATTTCCTTAGGGTGAAGCAAAGAGAAGAGATGTAGACTTTATTAAACTGAACTTACTGTCACCTTTCCCACTGCCTGAGAAGCACTTGAGAGTTCATGAAGAAGCAACAGAGGGGACACAAAGATTTATTAATTGACTTATGTGCAATATATTGGGAACTTGACAGGGCCTTTGCAGAATCCTTTCAATACCTCTGCAAAAAAAGAAGAATAAAGCTTTGGAGAGGACTATTTTCCTGGTATCTTTTATTTTCTACCTAATCTGTAATTCAGGAGGCAACCTGAACAAGAAGAAAATAAAAACATGAGGACTTAAACAAATTTGCCTTAAAATGTGGTCAATGTTAATCCTGTATCTTGTAACACAGGATATATTTTTATAATCCTGTATAAAAGATTGCTTTCAGAAAATACAATTTGCTCATACAGGTAAACATTGAATATTCTCTGTGCTAAATATTACTAACATAAAGCTTAGACATGTCTTATGTAAAATCCATGTGAAAAACAGAGCTGCAAAAAGCTCCCTTGTCTTCAAAACTGAGTTTGCAGTCATCTTTAAAGGTACCAAGGCTTAACAACCATATGTGTTGTTTTGCACACTCTACTGCATTTTATCTTTGTGCCTTTTATGTGCTATTTTATGCCCACAGTGAATACTCTCACTCACTTTAGTACTGGTCTCCAAAAATGTGGCTGGTTCTCACCAGTGACCCATTTTGGGCCTTCTCTTTTCCCACCCAAGCAGTTGCAAAGCTCGCTAAGCAGCAGCCCTCATGTGCTGCTGCGGCAGCAGCCACCCAGTCCTAGGGGACTTCTGCTCATTGCTCACTCACAGACACAGGGATCATGTGTCTGTGCAGGACACATTCTGCACAGACAAAACTTGGCACCTGGCCATACTGGACCCCTGTTTTAATCTTCAGACTGACTGAGGTTACCCATATGATCTAGAGACACAATAACCAGCCATGTGCGTACTGCTATTGAACTTTGGAAGACAGAACTGACCTTTTACTCCCACAGCACTTAACTCTTAATTAGCTTTGCGCCTATTTTTAAAACTCATCTTTTATCTCCTGAAGGTATCTGGCAAAGGTTTTGAGACTTCAAACTATCTTTTGAAGGACCTGTAATCATTGCAAAGAGATCATGCTTTGTAGTGACACCGCTTCTACTAATGCATCAGAAGTGTAAACATGAAGCTCATATTTAATTTCTGTGGGTGGTCATTTGACGTGAAGTCTAATGATGTAGCAAACAACTAATTAAATGCTTTAAAACTGTTAAGCGATAAAGGAAACCATAACAAATAAATTATACTGGACATTAAGCATTAATTAGTGTTACCTGCAAAGGATCTGCTTAAGGGTCCTAAATTCTTCTGAGACTTCTACCCACTGCTGCATCCTTTCCTTTCAAACTTCCCTCGTGTTGACCATTGCCTGTTGTCCTTGGCTGCTGTCCTCTGTCCTATAATATGTCACCAGCTCCTTGTCCTTCTTGCATGATTGTGAGAATTGTAGCTTCTTTCTGATGGTCATCCTTGACCAAGCTGCCAGGCTACCTGTTACAGGGAGCAGAAAGTGGGCTCACTGAGCACTGACCAGATCCTCCTGAGCTGCACAACGATTCATAGTTTGAGGGAACTGTTAATGAAAAACAAGGCAAACAAAAAAAATTCATTATTTTCAGTAACTCAGCTGATTTTAATTAGAATTACTTTTTTCTTCATTTTAGGATTCAATAAGAGATGGCGCATTCTTTAAAAATTAAAATATTTCTTTCTCTTGCTCCTCCTGTAAAATATGGAATTTTGGGGGGGGGGTTATTTGTTTGTTTGTTTGTCTGTTTTTTGTTATGAGGACATCAGGACAAGGGAGAAGCTAACTGAAGATTCAGGAACATAAACTGAAACTATTGAAGAACACTATGGCAAGACTACAATTCCTGTACTTCTGTGCCCGTATATGGCCAGGTACACGGCATTAAACATACTTCAGATAAGAAAAAATTAAGCTTATTAGATATTCATTAAGTTCATCTTCCCAGACAATCTATGACATGGACTAATACTCCTAGAGGCAAACTCACATCACTTCCAGCACAGAAGAAGCCTCTGCCCCTCTTGGGTGGTCACAAATGAGGACAATATTTCTGCCTCAAGGACTTGGCAGTATTAAGACTGAGCCTCTTTTTGGAGCTGTAGATATTATGTCTGAGCTCCTGCCAAGCTTCTGTGTAGCTCCTACAAAAAGATCCTTTCTTACATAAAGTATAGCTAAAGTTAACATTGGTATTTGATGCACACTCTGTCTGATGCATTGGAATGTCAGGCAAGAATCAGACAAATCAGAAGGTGAGAAACGAGGTTGAGTCACAGAGAATCTAAGACTTGAAAGAGAAAGATAGTAGCAAGAACTGCTCTTTGAAATAACTCATTTTATTATTATTATATAATTTTCTTTGGGATTTTCTGCCTTAGTTATATACTCAGGATAAGTAGGCTTTTAGAGATAGGAAAAGAGTTCATGTTGAAATAAAGATTTTTTTTAAGTGCTACCTTGTATTGTTATCCTGGTTTTCAGTGCTCTGTGTGCAACAGGGCTTCCAAAGATTTTTTCAAATAACTTTATATTCATGGATAATAAATAAATAAATAAATATTTTTATTGCTAGGCTTAAGATGCCAAATATCTCAACATGTGTCCTCTGTCCCTCAGCTCCATCTGCTAACCTGCATCTGCTCACACATCAGTTTTAGAACACTACAAATCCAAATTTCAGCCTGCTAATAGAGAATTAAAAATACTGCACTCTTCTAACACAATCTGCTATTTCATATTTGTTCAAGGTCTTTTCAAATAATATGCTGTATGCAATCAGCCTCGTGTGTTTTCTCAAAGACAGCATGAAACTGGCATGGAGGAAGCATATATGCTCACCGTGTCCTCTGGCTAATCTGACTAAAATATAAACACAACACACATGATCTATATTAAATTGGTGATGCTTGGTGATATGTTTCTTCCACAAACATGGTTCTTAGTGTCAGGGACACCATTTAGTCTTTAAAGACTTTTACATCCAAGTTGTGGTCTCCAAAACCTATCCATTCATAGCAATCTGTAACCAATTCTCTACTCCCACTTTCATCAGTCCATCTTCCCTTAACACTGAAGAAAACTGAACCTAGAAACAATGTGGCACTTTTTTCCATAGCTCACGGATAAGGAAGAATGGGTCTGGCGTGGACTCTCAGGCTTCTCCTTAAAATGCAAACATGCAGGTTATAGCAATCAGCATTTCCTTAGAACTGGGCTTTCAAGGTCCTTTAATTCATCAGAGGCCACTGAAGGAGAAAATTCTTCTCAGGTTTAAAGTCTAAATCATCTGGTTTTGTCCACAGACAGTCTATATTCTATAACTTAAACTCTGAAACTAAGGGCAGACCATGGTTTGCTGAAGGTGGTGTTTCATCTTTATGTTATTAATATCAAACTATTTCCCATATGCTGTCATCAGTAAGTGACAGCTCACTCTAAATCCTGCTATTGTCTGGTTTACCCCTTCCTTGGCTGGTGCTCTCTAAGGCTTTTTCCATGGTGGGCACTTCATATCTTCCAAGCACAAATCCATCCCTCATCTTAAGTCAGTCTCTCTGATCTGAGAACTGAGTTAAAGAATGACATTTTAAGATTACTCAGTCAGTTCACAAGTAAAACCTCAATTGTTTTTATAATACTTTAACACAAACTTTTTTCAAAAGCTTTTGAAGAAAAGGCTCAGTATTTAGGACATTTTCATATGATGGCATCATGCTCTTGGTTGCTCAGAGAAGGCTGCAACATATTAGGACAAATCAAATTCTTACACAACCATAACTTCACGAGCAAGAACTATTTATAATTTTTTGTCAGGTCTTTTGTTATGACAGTCTACTACATTTTTTTCTCCTACATGTTATTTTCCCCCTTAATTTTTCTCAGTTTTCTCATTCTTTTTTATATTAAATATTATTTATATTAAAACATAACTTAAAAATTTTGCTACGACCTTCCTGCTATGCAGTAATCTAACTAGGATGAGATTTGAGAATTTTTTAATTCCTGGATGTCTTAATTATCACAGAGAAACAGAAAAGAGATTGGCTATATCTTGAGTTACAGTGGCTGCAGCTACAGGTTATCTATAAAAATTATTGAGCTATTTCCTGTCTGTTTACAGATTATCTATTGAAATCTTTGTTCATTTTATAAAATCCTCTGGTCAATTTTTTTTTTCCAAAAGCCTCCTAAAATCTTGCTGTGATCTTTTCATAGTGAGGAAACACCATGTATTATACTAGTTTGAAAAAATAAACAGAAGTAAAATGATTACATGGGTAAGTGAAGTTTCTCTAAAGTTTAACTTGGCAGTGGTGCTCTGAAATTGCAGAATGCCCATATTCTATCAGTAGTGCTTCAAAGGACCCCAGTAATCATCTTCGGGATGTTGCCTCTTTAAAGAGTGCAAAAAATTTTAAGAATGGAAAATTTTAGTATGCTTTATTCTGCTACTTTTTTTTATTATCTTATTTTAGAGCACCTTTTACTCTTCCCAAATAAGTAGCAAGGTTAGAAGACTTATATTTCCACTCACAGAGAAGTGTGTGAGAACAGAGGGATTCACAGAGTAGCACTTTTATATTTTCTATTGGTGATGGAAAGATGCAAAATAAGTAATGATGATGTATCTGCGTGGGCATGGCTCAGTTATAGAGAAGAATTCTAAGTTTATTAGTTGCCAGGAAAAGCAATCTGATTCCACATGTATGGTTCTCTTTCTTTGTATTTTGTCTCATTGACAGTAAGTAAAAGTAAAATTTAAAAAAGAAAAGTAAGGAGTAAGTAAGCAAGTGAAAAAAACCAAACATAAGGACACTATTTGCCATGGCCATTAGAGCTATTTCATAAAGTTATGTTTAACTCATTTTTCAGGCCTTGCCACCTGGGGCTTATATTCTGCTTGCTGAGCGTCTTTCTGTGCTGTGTAGAATGTCCTGACAGCAAGGTGAAAGACCATAAGCCCTAGAGCATTTGAAAATCAGCTCATGTAGCAGAATTTGCTTTCAACTTCATGGAACAGCTTTCTCAACAGCTGGTCATAAAACTGACTACTGGGAAGGTCTCCCTGCTTTTCAAGTATGAAAGAACAATTCTAATACACCCTAAAAGCAAAGAAGACCTACATCCTTATGGGTCAGGAAATTAGGAAAAGCATCCCCAGCTGGTCAAGTGAGGGACCTTGAGATCACATTGGAAGTTCTGTGTCCAGTTCTGCCCTCCCCAGCACAAAAGGAAGATGGACATAGTGAAGAAAGTGTGCGGTGCAAGGCCATTTAGATGGTTGCAGAACCAGAGTATCCCTCATGTAAGGAGAGGCTGAGAGAGCTGGGGCAGCTCAATGGGAAAAGAGAAGGCTCCTGAGTATCTTTTCAAAGTGCATTGAGCCTGGGGAACAAATCTGATGAGGAGCAGCTGAGGGAGTAGGGATTGTTTAGAAGAAAGGAGGCTCGGGTGGTGTTATCACTCTGCACAACTCCCTGAAGGAAAGGTGTAGCCACACGGGAATTGGTCTTTTCACCCAAGTAACAAGTGACAGGATAAGGAGAAATGGCCTCAAGTTGCACCAGATGAATTTTAAATGTGATATTAGGAAGAATTTCTTTGCCAGAAGGATTGTCAAACCCTGAAACGGGCTGTCCAAGGAAGTGGTTGAATCATCATCCCTGAAAGTATTTAAAAGATGTGTGGATGGGGCACTGATGTACATGGTTTAGTGGTGGACTTAGTGATATTAGAGGACCTCTCAAGGACCTTTCCAACTTAAACTATTTTATGATTCTGCAGGAGAGAGGGAATGCATTAGTTTATTACACCCCTTAATTGACAGGAAAAGCATGCCCCAGAATGACCTACCACATGAGCAACACTGCCTCCCAGTTACAAGCAGATAACCAATATTCTGTTCATGAGGCCTCTTCATAAAAAAAGCAGAAGCATTTCTGGAGTGTTTCAGTGCTCCTCACCATCTCTCTCACATACACTGCCATGGTGCCTGACTGCTTCTGAGGATGTCACTTGTCCACTTGTTCAAAAGCTTTGCAGGTCCTTAAACTCCCTCTCCTAGGCCCTCCTGGGCACACAGGACATGTGGGAGAGAAAGGAGAGCAGAGGGACTTCTCGTTTCTCTTCCAACTGAAAGATTTGGCCCAAGAATTGACATTATTTGAGTTTGCATCCTCATGTGATTCTGAAAAATAAAGTAAGACAATACAGCAGCCAATCAAAATACCCACTTTCTTTACAGAGATTTACTGGGACATCACATGAAATTTTCTTAATCTCAATCTTACATCAATACTTCTGTCCAGCCAATAACTGAAAGAAAATAACACTGAGTTTCAATCCTCCCAACTACTTCAGCCTTCGAAATTGCTGAGAGATCACAGGACCAGATCTATCCTCCCCTTTCTTGCTTTCTATCAGCAAAAGCTACATTCTATTTTACTTAATGAATATATTTTAAATATGCTAGATGAAAAAAAACAGCACCAACTCAGCTAGGTATAGACTTCTAGAAGTACAGGTTGAAA